CAACCCGGTCTCTCTGTGGCAACCCGCTTATCCCTCACATACGCCAAAAACCCCATACAAACCTATTGTAGACTCTATCTCGCTCTGGTAGCATAATAGAAATCTGATCCAAATCTAGTACCCTCGCCATACACCATAAGAACTCCCCCACTATGGTATTATATAGTCACTAACTATCACTCACAGTCTATCACAGCTCCAAATCAACTCAACCAGTCCATATCCACTATGAATCATACATCACCCATTGCGATCGGTACCAGGTCTATCGGAAACTCAACACCAAAGATCTCCAGTACACACCCCCGAATCACATCAGTAGCAAAAATTGCATGCTTGTCGACTATAGAAACTATTAGTGGTCGACTCAACGACACACATCAGATACTGATGTGATGACTAAAAGCTAAGCATATGAAGGATCGACTCGCACCCGAGTCAAGTAACACCAAAGAAGGTACCAAAAACTCACAAGAAAAGTACCTACACACAACATAATATACACACAAGGTATCTCAAATGGATATAATAAAGTGTATGTACCGTCCACGACATCAGGTGCTGCGCGGACGTCCTCCGCTGTCAGCTGAAAGGCTCTCCCATGAACACTCGGAGTCTTGACCTTCACTGGCCGACTCTTAGTAGATCGTATAGTAGTAGGGGCAGATCCCTGATGAAGCTGGGGGTACTCGGCCTTCCGATAGCCAGTCTGGTTGCAATGAAAACAAACTATAAACCACTTGGGGAAATCCTTCACCATATGCCCCTCTTTGCCACATTTGAATCAAATCCATGCTCGACACGATCCCTCGTGACTCTTGCCCTCACATACCACAAGTGCGGCCCTTCTAGCCCTAGTGCTCGTATCAATGGGCTTAGCCAGCTTTGTTTCCATCCACGGTTGCATTGATCTCCTATCTCTCCCCCGAGACTCCTCCTCCTCTCTCGTCTATAACTCTAGCTCAATATCCCTGCACCTGGCGTTGGTCAGAAGCTCAGCCAATGTCCAGTATAATGAGTTCGCCATGAACTCCCCATATATCCATCCTCGGTAGACACATGCTCAAGGCAGAACAATGCCCTCTCATGGAACATTTGTGTAATCCCAGTCACCAACTCAATCTTTTGCTTGAGAGATAGAAACTCATGGGAAAAATGTTACCGTTCCACAGGGGGGACATACTCATCTCGGAATAACTGGGTGAACCTCTACCATGTCACTACAACATGATCTACAGGAGTAAAACTAGTAGTCACAAACTTCCGCCAGTACTTCGCCCCCGCACTAAGCTGGTTCAGCGCAAATCGTACCCTCAAGTGATCAGGACATGAACATGTGTAAAAACACCCCTCGATATCAGAGATCCATATCATCGTAGCAATTGGATCCTGAGTCCCATCAAACTCTAGTAGCTTTGTGTTGTTGAACTCCAAAAACAATAACAAGTCACCTCCTTGTGGCCTGGTAGCGGCGAAAGCTGTGGTGGCTGCTGCATCAGCAGCCTTGGTAACCACAGCATACCGCTCATCAAATGTCTCGATTAGGGTGGTCTTTTTATAGACCCAAACATCTCTAGAATCGCCTCTTGTATGGTTGCGGCCACCTTAGCATGAATCATCCTATGAATCTTATCATCGCTAGTCCCACTCCTCCCTAGGTTGTGGTGTGTACCCACCATGATGTCTCGGAAACACAAAACAAAATCATCAAAAACTTGCTTGAGTATACTCATACTCAATCACTCGCTCGTACTTTCTCCATAGCATCCTAAAGATTCTTACATGAGTTGCTTATAGATTCATGCTTTCAGTAGTACGGGCCCAATACTACCTTCCACACCAACCTGTAGTCACCCTAAGTCCTCATCCTAGGATCTTGATTAACAAGTACTCTATTTCTCACAAATAACACACTACTCTCTCAGGAGGCCCCTTATAAACTCATCTACATATCTCTCCTAGATTATCGCTCGACTCAGAACTCTCTCTCTAGGTGATTCCTACTAAATAATCTTACTCAACATATACTCAAAGCACATAACAGATAGCATAAGTTCCTAGGCTACTGCATCACAAATCAGGAAACTCTAGTCCTAAAATATGAAATACCTAGCTTATCCCCATGCATGCATAACCAATATCTCGTAAGTATCTCATAACACAAAAGTAAGGGTATTTTGGGAAATCACCGTGCGGCCTCGGGTCAATTGTACACATTGCTCCAACTCATTTTCTCTTAATCTCTTTCTCATTTAAGAAAAATTATTTCTTTTCATAATTTTTCTCAAATCCTCAGTTTGCGTCCAAACACACCCGGAGGTGCATCCGAATCCCTCAAACCAAGGTTTTGATAATAAATTTTCAAACAAAGTTTTCAATTTAAAACACAATAAAACTCATGTACATTTTCTCAAAAACCACAAGTATCTAAAATGTCAACAAATTCACTAGTAAAAATCACAATCCAAGAATCATGAATATAATCTTGCTCCAGTGTGTAATATCAAGCCAGTGCCTTCCCATGATCCTGAGAGGTACCTGAAACACATAATGCATAACATGGTAAGCACGAAGCTTATTGAGTTTCCCAAAATATCACACATATCTCAATAGCATCACATGGCTATGCTCAAATAAGATCCTCCGGTCAGTGTGTCTCAGTGGGACCCTCCAGCCCTATAACTCAGGTGGACCCTCCAATCCTAACTTGGTAAGCTCAGAATAATACACAACAAAAATACAAAGACATAATGCAGGATATCATAATACTCAATATAACACGTAAGACCCTTTGGTCACACAAACATTACCACTCTAGGTAAAGTATAGTGAAAACACTCACCTCGTAAGCTAGTAAGTAATAACTCCGTACACGAATCTCATACTAGCCTTCGCCTAACACATAAGCTAATAATATCAAATTAACACTTAAATCACAACCCGAAATAAACTAGGTTATTATCTCTCTCAAACTCTTGGAATGGGTAAAATATCATTTTACCCCTCCATCATTCCTATTCTCCCTACCTTGACCAAAACCTAAAGTCAACAGAAGTCAACCCTCAAGTAAACTATTTATGTTGACCTGACTCGCCGATTTCATCCATATGACTCACCAAGTCCCCTTTGTTTCTTCGGAACATCGTGAAAACCCAACTCAACTCATCGAGTTGTCCCATCAATTCGGCGAGCAACCCATGTCCAGAATCATCGGGTAAAACCCTAGCCGACTCATCGAGTCGGCTCATTGAGTCGGTGAGTCCCTTGAGTCTGAATTCTTATTCAAACATTTTAGGGAAGATCTACCACTCCACACTCTACATCTAGGCTCCCAAGGCTCGAATGTCAAGTAAAGCTTCGATCTTTACATTCACAAATGACACCTTTTGTTCCAAAATGCCAATGCAACTCTAATAAATATGTTTAAGCTTAATGACTCTTATATCGATGAATAAAGTTGGGACCTTTGCACTCTATGGACCTTACAGAGTCCAAATCTGAAGTCTAGACCCCCTGATAGACTCAATGAAGTCAATGTCCAAATAAAAAGGTGGTAAGAACCCTAAATTTCTGTAATCATGAGATCTAACCATTAATATGAGAAAGGTGTAGGCTTTTTACCTTCCACGGAAACCCTGGACAATATAGCACTAATTCCGACAGTATCTCCTCGTTTCTTGTTGAATAACCTTCTTATTCTCATCAAAATATTCACGAGAATACAGAAATAGTAGCCTTAGAACTCTCTTATTTCACTACACACGTTTAGGGTTTCACACAGGGAAGTTGGGCAGCTGGTGAGGCGCAAATCAGGACATAAGCTCTTTTAAATAGGCCACAACCCCTGGAATTTAGGTTTTTCATATCACAGTGCCAACTCTGTAAGTTGGATATTTGACTCGTTGAGTCGGTTATTACACCCACAAGGGCAATCAGTCTCTATTCAACGTGTTTAGGTACCAACTTGTCGAGTTCCTTAATAGATCTCAAAAACAGAAAAATAAATAATATACCTGGGAATCCGAATGTTACATTAACAAAGCAGTACGCTGCACATATATGCATGTACCCGAAGCGTACAAGCCTTACAACTGTACGCTTAGCGTACAAAGGAGTACGCACACATATTCAACAGATGTGGGCTTTGCGTGATTTGGGCCTCTGTTTGAGCCATACATTGGACTTTATCTCCTTGGGCCTAAGTAGGCCATCAAAAGTTAGATATTTTGGGCTAAGAATTTTTTTGGGCTTTAAGATAAGGCCCATTAAAGGGGATGGGACTAATTTAGCAAATTGGGCCATTAGTGGTGTAATTCCGTAAAAAAATTTTTAACAATTTTTCCCTTTTGAAACCCATAAAATATCATTTGAAATCATAAACAAATAATTGTATCAATACAAAATCCAAGATCAATATATATATATATATATATATATATATATATATATATATATATATATATATAAACTCCGATATGCGTGTGTACGGATCATGCCGACGCCTTCCCACGATCATCACTGGTACCTGAAACACATAACACATAACACTGTAAGCATAAATGCTTAGTGATTTCCCCAAAATACCACTCTAA